TAATCCATGAAGGACTTGAGCCATTTTACTGAAAATAAAGTCAAATGCCTTAGGGTTTTTCTTTTTAATCTTTATTGGTTTTCCTGCTTGCAAAAGCAATACATGCTGTTTGAAAAAAAAAAAGAAATTTTTTTTTGCAAACAGCAGAGAAGTTTGGACCATAGCAAGTGTATTCTCAGCTCTCCAGCAAAAAGCCGCCAACAGCCATAAAAGATTTTTTATTATTATTCAAAACATATTTCTTTTCTGCTTTTGCGAGATACACGACAGTGGTTGACCTGCTTGGTGGACCGCAGCTGTGTCCACTGGAGGGCCGGCAGGGACCCCGCCATTCAGCCCACTTTAGCAAAGTTAGCGGGGGGCACGTGAGAGAGAGGGACAGATCCCTGTGCTTCATGCCCGTGCTGACTGTGGTACACTCTGTGCTGTGGCAGACACTTAAGTGCCAGGGCTCTGAAGGATTGTGGGGGGCTGGAGGGATGCGCCTGGCACAGTATTTGGAGGTAAGCAGCTTTTCTCTATCCCTTCGGAAAGAGCTTTAAGTCTGGAGAAAAAAATTTCATTTTGCCATAAAGCAAGATCCCTTATCATCAACAACAATAATCGTAACCACTGTTTATTGAATGCCTGGTTTCCAAGCACAGCACACACATTTGTGTGAATGCCCTCCAGATGCCGGCGCACTGGTGACTTCTGTCTCGGAATCTTCCAGTGAAAAGCTGGGGCTCATTTGCCCGGCCGTAAGGATGGCTAAACCTTGGTTGGCATCGGTCACATCAAGGTCAGACATGCCACGCAGAAGTTTGCAGAATGGAGGAAAGGGGGGCCAAAATATTTTTGGTTATTTTCAGTTTCAAACTAGGCAAATAACTCTCAGGAAAAGTCCTAATATCAGTTCCCAAGTAGTAAGTTTAAACAAGAGACTTAGCCCAGGGCCTTTCACTTCAGTAACGACTGTGTACCAAGAGGAAGACCGTGTTGTTTGTCATGGGAACTACTTAGCCTGGCACTGTGGTATGGTGAGAACTTATAAAGCAAACAACATGCTGGGCATAGTGGCGCTCGCCTGTAATCCCAGCACTCGGGAGGCTGAGGGAGGAGGACCGCTGCAAGGTCTAGGCCAGCCCGGGCTACACACTGAGTTCAAGGCCAGCCTGTACTACATAGCAAGACCCAGTCTTGAAAAAACAAACAAAAAATGGGTGCCCAAATCTCAGCCTTACCACTTCTTAGCTGTCTCAATTTGACGATTTATTAAGCTTCTCTGACCTTCAATTTTTTCATATATAAAACAGCTGTCTCAATGACAATTTATTAAGCTTCTCTGACCTTCAGTTTTTTCATATATAAAACAAGTGCAGCAGTAATGTCATGACGACGATGACAGTAGTTGCATAGGGCTGCTGGCACTAATGCCTGACGCCTGCTGAGTGCCAGTGTGCATTAGGTACCATGAGTGAGCAGCAGCCCATTACATCCTGACCCACGGAATGAAGTGATGTGTGCCTCTCTTGAACAACTGTATTTTTTAATGACTTGGAAGGGAATGGGCATTGCTGTCTGGGCCAATATAGCTCACAAGATATTCCTGAGGAATACAGGAAGTGTTTAAGAATGTTAGTGCCCTGTTCTTGCTCTGTTAAATAACTAGCAAACTTTTTATATCAGCACATGTGCAGCGCTTGGTGACCACCCAGCGCAGGGACCACGATTAATTACCACGCTGGCCTTCCAGGCTTCCCTGCTGCCCCTGGTCGCCAGCTCCAGGATTTTGCCTCTGCAGGATGGAGAGCCTGCTTGACTGACTTAGGGTGTGTGAGAGAGCAAATCACTTAGGTAACAGAGCTGAAAATGGGGGAACAAATGAGAATTTGTCGTTAGCAAGATTGTTCATTGTGAAGCCAGTTCATGGTGAGAGGGACGTGTCTTGCTACCGGTAACTCCACTATGCAGTAGCCCTCTTTGCTGGAATCAGGGTGTGTGTGTGTGTGCGCGTGTGCGCGTGCGTGCTAATTAGTATACTTGTGAAGGGTGGCAGTGGTGGTGCCTGGTGGAACTGATCCTTTGAAATGCTGGCTGAGCCCATATACGCAGCACTTATATGAAAGGGACTCATAATTTCTGTTGAAAATATTATTTTAGGAAGACAACACTGCCCAGTACAAGATAGAAAAGCTGGGGATGGGCAGGAAAGGGCTCCTTTTCCATGGGACTGAAAACTCAAATTTATGGGACTAAACTGCCTTCCTTTTGGAAAAAAATATGCAAGGCATGGCTTAGTTTTCCCCTCTTTGATCCTGTAATCTGAGTAAAGGTAGGGAGGGGCAGGCTTCTGTGCACGGTGGCATTAACTGGAGAGATGCCCCATGTCCCACTCCCGTCCGAAAAGCTTTGCCGTCTGGAAATACCAGCACGTGTGTGTGATGAGCTTGCATCCAAGGGGCTTGCTTTCCGGGCAGGTGGGCGGCGGTCCTTCCCTAAGGAGCGTTTACAAAGGGCGAGCCAGAAGAGCGGAGTGCCTGAACCTTGCGTCCTCTCCCCTGACCCTCCTAGTGATGGTTATTCCGATTCTCGAGCCAGCACTGCCCACCAGAGCTCAACACAGACACAGTGGGACAGGAAGGCTCCTCTCGATCTTAGTCCACGCATCCTAAGCTTCGTGGCTCCATACAGCTTGTGAAGTCGGAGCCTGGGTACCCTTGAGATCCGAGAGACCTTGGGGACTTAAGCAAGGCCAGACACCAGGGAGACAGGAACCTGACTCAGGCCAGCAGTCCTGTGACCGTGGCACCAGACTGCAGGTCTGTGCTGCTCTCACCAGGCCATGAGCCACCCCGAAGCACAGTGCCGGGCCAGTGCCGAAAACAGACATATCAGCCACTTAGAGGACCCTGGAAGCCTTAGCAGGCACTGTGGTCGCTGCCTTACCCTGCATTCATTCATGAGTCACAGTCCACTAAGAGCCAGCCAGGCGGCAGCAGCAGCGGTTTTCCGTTTGATCCCATACAGTTTTACTCATGGTTCACAAGCGGCCTGCGCGTTGGTCCAAAGGCCTAACTAGACATGCTTGGTCTCCACTGCTAAGACGGCATGTCGCTAATTCATGAAAGGCCCAAGTTGAAGATGAGCATTGTTTTCGCTGCCTCGGATAGTTCTGCTGCTGACATGAACTAGGGCCCAGGAGGTTTGCTTAGCTCCAGGTCCTGCGACGACAACTTGAGTGGAAACACCGGCAGAGCAGCTCCATGTTGGTCTTTATTTCACACATAAATTTGTTTGTTTAATAGGTGGTCCGAGGGCTTTGTGTTGTGCAATCATCCTGTTCCTTGGGGGTCAGGGAGAAGGAGGCCTGTTCTCATTACAGCCTAACCCACGTGGGGAGATCCAGGCAATCGCACTCTCAGCTGCTGTCACCCTTCACACTTTCTTACTACTCCTCGGCCGCGGAGTCTGGAAAAGGCTGGGCCTACCTCTCGCACCTGCGCGCTGCAGACAGTCTGTGGCACAAACCTTTCCCTTGACTGTGTTAAAAGATTAGAAGGGCCATTAAATCTGACGGGATTTCGTATTTCATAAAGAAATAAAGCGAGGCGTTAACGTGGGGAGGCAGGCTTGCAAATGACAGTGTGTGTAGATGCCACCTTAAACATACCGAGTTGCATAGCCCAGAATACACCCGTTCCTCCCATTATCGGGGTATGGCTTAGCTCCGGATTGTACTGGTCCTGCAGCAGGGAGTTAGCAGGACCCACAGTTTCTAATGAGGCGGTTTCTTGTGTGCCCTAAGTACTGAGTACAACATCATGTCAAATCCAAAGTTCACGTCTGCAGAAATTCTCTCGGGATGTGAGATGACGTTAGCAGAGCGGGGAGTGTGAGTCATTGCTTCGTGTACGGCATGGGGAGAAGCAGAGACTGTATCAAAGGGAAACAGGCTCAGGCACTTGCGGTTGAGTTTGTGCCTAAATAATTTAGCCGATAATCTGACGTGATAGCCAGCGGTAAAAACCACGCAAAGTAAAGGAAGGAGAACGTAACATTCCAGGTAAACCTGTGACCATGGCTGGCCTGTCGGAACACCTCAGACCGCTCTCCTTTATCTCACGTGTAAATTCTATTTTATAGGTATTCTAAGAATTTTGTCTAATTATCCTGTCCCTTAAATTACCATTGAAATTCTTAATACGCTCTAACTCAAGATGTGTTTGCCTAGGAATGTGCTTTGCTGTATTTGAGAACACTGGTGTAATGTATGTTAATTATTTGATTAGTCTTCCAGCATGAGGTCTCGTTAAATAATCAGCTAAACAGACATGTGCACACTGTACCCAAAAATCAGTTTCAAACACACAGAAAAAATCTAGGCAGAAACCATATATCCTACTTGTCATGATTCATCACTATTAAATTCAGATATTAACTTACGGTTGAAAGATTTTAACTGTACACCAATGAAGTTTTTTAATAAATGACAACTATGTTAATTTTTTCAAAAGATAAATAAAGAATTATTAGCTTACCGTCATATGCAACCCATCAGTATTTTGAAGTGGACCGTTTTCCTAAGTACACCTGACTTTTTTGAGTATATATTTTTCTCTACCAGCTACAAGACTCAGCCAAGACAGATTTATGACCTTTTAAAAATAATGATGGAAAATGAAGTCGGAGGAAACGTTTTAGTATCTGCTTTGCTCTGAGCCTTAAACTGCGAACTCTCCAGTTCTTGAAGGCTTTGAAATGCTGATTCCAGTCTTCTTGTGGGTTCTTAAACACCTTCTCAAATGACCCATTTTAATAACCCGAAAGCTATTATATAACGAGCAGCCATAATTTAGTCCAGGGCTCTAGGGGGACCCTTACAGTTCAGCAATGAATAGTTAATGCAGTATAATGTTTAGCAGGTTATTAGTTTTCACTATACAAATGCTGATCAGGGAACGCTTTTATAAGGTGTTTAAAAGAAAATGTAATTAACTGGTTGCGTGCTTCTGTTGCAGCTCAAATTGAAATTATTCCATGCAAGATCTGTGGAGACAAATCATCAGGAATCCATTATGGTGTCATTACATGTGAAGGCTGCAAGGTAAGCCTTTTCAGTTGTTGTTGTTTCTATTAATGTTACAATGTAGCTCTGTGGTTTCTATTTTCTACTAATATGCTTTAGATTTCAGCTCCTCAGAATTTTGAGCGATGAGAAATGACAGCATAGAGCAAATATTTGGGTATTAACTTACAGTGAACCACTTACCAGTCCAGTTGTTTTAAATACAGGATGACCAAAAGTTGCATGTTTTTTGTTAACACTTACGATACAACAGGAAACATAAAAATGACAATTTGATCAAAGTTCTTCCACACAAGAACCGGCTAGTTGAAATGACGTTTGCCCGAGGGAAGCCTCAGGATGGTCAGTTTGTAAACAAAGGGGCCGCAGGAGCACCGGCGTGGCAGAGGGTAAACTGCTCAGTGTCTCCAGAAGGGACGCGCTTGTACTCCCCCTGGGAATGGGTATGGAGACAGAGGAAAGGTACTGAGCTTTGTGTTTGCCACTTCCAGTCCTAGAACTGACGGAAGAGAGGAGCTGCCTGGTTATCTTTGGTAAAATCTACACCGCCGTTCTGCCCCCGCCACGGCGTGTTGGAAAAGGTATTTCCAGTGCGTTTACTCAGCTTGGTCGGTCTCACTGCGCTCCGTACATGGTAACACACCCAGCCAGTCATGGAAGGGCCTCCCGGAAGAGCCGAGTGCTGCAGCGGGCGCCTCCGCTTGCCCACGGTGTCCTGTGCGTGTCTCACCTTCTGGTGACCCAGTTTCTCCACCTAGGAAGTGGGTATGACACCGGCCTCCCTACCTTCTCAGGCTGTTCCAAGAACAGCAAGAGCAATTTAAGTCACGGGGGAAGGGAAAATAAAGATATTTACCCTAAGAACTCAGGGCCGCCCCTCCCACAACCCAGATGGCCTCTGTCATCCAAACTTCAGTGTATTAAGATTTAAATCCTCCTGCTTATATTGGAAGGGCCTTGAGACAACTTAGAGGATAAAACGGCCCAAAATAAATAGGAGAGGAGCTATTTAAACATGCAGGAGGCCTCCGAGACAGCCGATTGCTACAATCAGGCCTGAATTACCCAGCAGGCTTTTTGCGATTGAGGCAAAAAAATAAGATCCACAAATTACGGTTGCTTTCCTTTACTAAAACCAGAGAGTACAACGTCATAAAATGGGGAAATGAGCGCAATACGGTTTTTAATTCTTCATTTTACTGTTAATCATCCTAACTCCCTAGTTTCTTTCAATTCTCAGTTTCAGTGTTAGCCACTGTCACACTTGGGAATGTGGACCTGTATCTGTGCTTTACTCACCCCAGCTTCATGAAACTGAGATGTCTGCCGCACACCGCCACGCACACTTAATCCAGTTTTTTAAAAATTACCTGCCCTTCAGGAGTGGGGAACCTGCTGTGGAAAGGAGGTTTGGAATTGTGCTTTCTCGGTGACAACCCTCAGGGCCTCTGGTTCTGGATTACCAACAGTGAATGTGTCACGCCCTCTTCTTCCTCACTCTGCCCTCCCTCAAAAGTAAGGATTGAGAGGGTGCTCTGCCCGTGGCAGCCGTCACCCCACTGATTTTCAGAGTTGCTCTGGCTGTCCTTTGCCCGCACCCTCACTGTGTCCCTAGCAGAGCGACAGGCCTTTCTCATGAAGGGCAGCTACACAGCAGAGCTGGCCTCCTGCCCCTGGGCACCGTCCCAGACCCCAGGTCACTGTTTGTCCCTTTACTCTGAAAAAGTGACCACTCACTCTGCTGAGTCCCAAGTGCAAACTGCAGTGTCTGGGAAACCAGTCTGCGGGGGGCGACTCTGAATGGAATATTCCAATAAGTTGAAAGGTTAATGAATAACATGCTGGTCAGTAAAGCTTGAATCGAGTGTTTACAGCTGTATAAAGTGTGCACTTTTGCCTCCAATATTTACTCATAAGAAAAAATAAAAACAATAAGAAAACAAAAGGCAGTTACTAGTCCACAGTTATCCTTTTCAGATTCCTTGCCAGATCCTGTCCCCTACAGGCTCAATGCCAAAGAGGTTTTCAGTTGTCTGCGGCTCTTTCCTGTGCTCTATTGACTTCATACAATTAACAAACGATTTTATTAACAGATTGGGACTATGTCCAGTCTGGGACTTACTTAATATGAGTCTTAGTGGTGCTTATAGTGTTAGTTCTGCATTACAGCTTCTCTCTGCTGTAACATTTTTTGTTCCTCTTTACACTGAAGTCAAGAGATTTCTGTATGGATGTTGTTATGTTCTAACCAGGTGAAGTTGGTTATATCATGATGAATTATAAATAGTTATGTCTGTGGTAATATAATGAGACATAACAAAATTTCTAATTCGACACATCAAATAGATACCTAATGAGAGGGGGAAAAAAGTGACTGTTATTTCCTGAAATCATTTTGAGTGTATTTTAAATTGCATTTTAAAATCAACAACCTGAAACCGTAAGACTGGAAAACCTATTTGATGGCTGGAGTCATCTGTTTCCCACACATTTGCCTGGAGAAGCGGTGCCTAGGAGCAGCGAAGGTCCTGGGCATTTTGGCCCCTCTTCCTCTTGTTCCCCTGCTCACCGGGTCCCCTTTGCTGTCAGGACAGTGACAGTCCAGTGCTGTGCTCGGACTCTGCCACCAGGCTGGCTGGGCCGGACCTCAGCCAGTCCCACCTGTCACTGAGGACAGTTACTGTCATTGTTTCAGAGTTACCATGCACGTTCAGGTAAAGGGTGCAGAAAGTGGCAGGCAGGTCGCGAGCGCACTGGCTGAGGACCAGGGGCCTTGGTAATATTGCTTGGGACAATCAGATAGTACTGTGAGCCCAGTCTTGATTATCGCGGCCACTGTCAGTTTCTGCCAATAAACGGTAAGTCAAACACGGTAGCACACACCTGGACTCTCAGCTCCTCAGCAGGCTGAGGCAGGAGGATGGCAAGGTTGAGGCCAGCCTAGGCAACTTAGAGAGACCGTATCTCAGGATGAATAATAAGGGTTGTGGAGGTAGCGTGCTACTCCCTGAGTTCAATCTTCAGTGCTGGAAAAAAAGAAAAACGGTGCATACAGGAGTACTCCTGTGGTACTTAGTGCGATAAAGGATTCAAGGTAGAAGAGCTAGTCCGTCCTTTGAGAAGTTTCTAGCCTAGTGGAGAAGCAGCCCACACAGGGAGAGGTAAATATGGGCACCAGAACTAAACCACAGAGTCTGGCCTTGAAGGTAACGTGACGTGGCAGGCTGTCCAGGGGCGGAGGTGCAGCACTAGGGAGGTCTTGGTGGCATTTACTGGGGAACCCATGGAACCAGTTTGGAGCAAAGGAACACTTTCTGAGCACAGCAGAAGACGGCAGTAGACAAGTTTGCCTTCCCCCAACTTCTTGTAAGGCTCCGTTATGCATAGCTTTTATTAGAAATGTATTTTACTTTTGGCCAAACAGGAGAACAGGCTGGGAAGATTCGGAAGGGCACAGGTCAGGACGCAGGCCTACAAGGGTTTCGTTCTGTCAAAAGCATCCGTGGGCCCGGGATGGCATGGACTCCTAGCTCGGGAGGGGAGGTGGAAGGGCGGGCAGAGGAAAAGACCACAGGCTCGCTACAGGCTGCGGGTGGAGGGTCAGCCTTCACAGCGGACAGCAATGTGATGTGTCTGAAAGCCCGATCATTAGTGCAGGGGTGTGACCTGTCGTTCAGTCTCTGCTCCTGCCTCAGTACAGTGGTACAGGGCAATGATAAGCCACACGCTTTTTATCTACCTCCCTTTAGACTTTTTCAACTGTAAGTTTTTTCATGGTAATGTACAATGCAGTGTTTGGGCTAGTGAACTGGTTTCCCGTTACATTTAAGATCCCTTTGCTCTTGCTAAGTCAAAAAATAGCAGCATTCATTTGTCAAAGGATTCAGTCGTCAATTAACACATCTGAAATGCAGAACACAAAGTCCTCTGAAAAGCTTCCTCTTCCAGGCAGTAAAGAGAGAATGTGAATCCTTTCCTTGTATTAATATTCTCTTCCCATAACATTAGAAAGCCTTTTCAAAGACACCTAGTGTATATAACTGATGCTTTTTTTTTTCCAAGCAAAGAAGTGGGCAGAGCAACTTCTGGAGCTTTTTTGTGTGTTAGGTTAAAGAGAAACTTCCATAAATGTTCTTTTTAGGCCCAAGTTCTTCTTCAGTGAACTCTGATATTTTTACTTAAACTGTGAAAACTACTCCTGAATCCACTGTGCCACTTTTCAGCACTGCTGTCCTCATGCCCAGTATTAAAACGGGCCTTATGCAGCTGGGCCAGGAAAGGGCCCTCACGCTTGTCTGTGAACCAGTGCCCATGCTCAGGGTCTTTGCTGGATCGGATTGAGTATGGCAAGGCCCGGGCAGAACAGGCAGCTGTGCCACACGAGGTCAACTTTGGTAGACAGCGTTTGTGCCAGCAGTTCTGCCAGGAGGCCGCTCACTGATGGAGCAAGAGTGGAGTTTGGGAGAGCTGAATTTCCATGATTTACTGCCACCAGTTTTGGTTTTTTTTGTTTTCCCCTCGGTACCCGGGATCGAACTCAGGCCCTTGTGCTTGTGAGGCAGGTGGCGGCGCCACTGAGCTAAATCTGATTGTGGCGCAGAATTGGCTAAATTTTGCAAACAAGGTTGCCTGTTCTCTTCTTCCTCATTTGCTTCTTCGGGGACTATTATTCCTGTCTCCCACCCCATTTTAATTTTATCATCTTCTCAGTCTTGTCTAGATAAGCGTGCCTCTCTCTACCCCTCGGGAAAACTGGGTTACCCTCTTGATACCTTCATCCACATAGGTTACTCTCTGCCTGACTCCATACAGTGATGTTTCTTCCTCCTCACCCTCATCCTTCTGTACATCCTCGAGACGTTCCAAGGAGAGGTAAAATTGGGACACTGTGCATCCTTTTCCACACACGTGTCCCTGCTCCTGGCAGCCCTAGAACTAAGATGAAAGGTAGACATACACCCGCTTCGACCGTCCTCCAAGTTTCCAATTGTTGGCTGCACTGGAAAATACAATAGTTT